GACATTGCGTTAGAACCATTTGCGCAGCAGAATTATTAGATTTGCAAGAAACCATCCGACAAAAACAAACAACTGAAATTAGAATATTTACTGAAATTTGTATGACAAGTATGCGGCAAAACACAGAAAAAACAAAAGTTGGTAATTCTGTTACTTACGCTCATACATATGATTGGTTAAGCAAACTTACACACGACCACTCACAAGTATTCCGCTTTAGCTCGAATACACTCGCTCACAAATGTATTAAATACGCACGCGGATAAATTCGTAGCAAACTTTTTGATGCCCTCTTAAGTGAAAACACTGATAAGCAAAATCCAAGCAAACTTTTTTTGATATTCTGTTAACCGCATTGGTAAGGGAAAATTGTAGAATGTGCTCTAACCGAACGAAAAAGAAAAGCGGAAGACGTGAAATACATGTCCTGAAAAGCGTAGGATATACCTCGGAGAGTGCTTTCTCAAATGTCACACTAAGGAAAATTAAATAAAAATGAAACATGTAAATAAACTACTTTCGTTAAAAATTCTTATGTTTGATGTGTTACAATTTTTTATTAAAACTACTGTCGAGTAGCTGAACACCCGTACTGGTTCGGATGCAACGAATCGTACAAAAATCCCCATTTTTAAAGTTGAAAGCGCAGCAAAGCAATGGGAAATTTTTGAATAAGAGATTATAATATTGGCAACCCTGAAAAAGTCAGCTGATTAAAATATGATTATAATGCAAAAAATGTGCACAACATAACTTGGTGACGAAGACAATCGGAAAGTATTCTGGCAAATACTCTTTTATTGTTTCTGAATGAGTTCGGATATTTATCCATAAGCAACATTTTTAATCGTTTCTTAGTCACATTCTATTGTAAAGTCAGTTGACGAATGTGGGGAAACGGGAACCTCGTAAAAATTGGAAAAGGAATTGTAAAGTAAATTAAAACATAGTCAAATTGAATGATATGAAAATAAGCCTTACTAGAGATAGAGATATGATGCTGCCGCCGTGAGTCATCTCATAAAGCTCGTCAGTGTACCTGTCTGTTTTAATGATAATTAGAAATTCCGCTGAAACCGGTTTGTGATCTGAAAAATTGCACGTGGGATGGGATTTATATGCTAAGCTGCAATTCGCAATTTATTAAAACTATCGCGACCCCGTTTGAGTGGTATACATATATTAGTAGGCTTCTAAAGTTTGAACAGCTTATTTAACCGAATGTAATGAGCCTCCCTCAAAATTCACATTATTCATAGTCGAAGTGGGAATGATTTGTGTGGATTATGCAACACAAGAGGACTTGAAGTAGACCCAGTTCTTATTATATCGATTGCTTCAGAATTACTTTCTGAATCGACAGAGAAATTTTTTGAACACTCTAATATGTCTAAAACTAAAAGTAATATGACAAAAATATCTAATTTTCAATGCTTCATGATGAATCATCATCATAATTGTAACTTAACTGTACCAAACTGGACTATTTCCGCTTATGTTCTGACTCCCATCCTATATAAGAATTTTCTTGAAATTTGATCTTTTATAGGGCAGAAAAGCACAAATTTGTAAGAATTATTTTGAAAAGACATTAGATGCATACTTCTAAGATGATGTAGGGTATTTAATCGTGCGCTACGAACTATTCCTTGCTTTTGTTTATCTTAATTGAAGCGATGTGTACACATAAATCTTAAAGCTTTCCTTCCTTTATTTAATCTTAAGGCTTTGCTTCCTCAAATGGGAAAATCTTT